CAGCGGCAATCGGACTGCTTGAACTTGTCTCTATGTGTACAATCCTACTCGCTTGCACATTTCCAGCGCTGAAGGACTCCAGCCTGCGATGCACTGGATAAGATACTGCTTAATGATATGCGGCATCATCAAGAAGACACACTCAGCAAATGAACCACCGCCCTTTCCCGAGCTGGACACTAGGAGCCGAGGCAGATAAGCTGTAGCTCTGATTGAGCCCAGGCACCTTCCAGAGCTGTTGATTTAAGCTTCGATCCCNNGGTTGGAAGGCGAGTTTGAGGGCTTTAGAGCTTGCAAATTTACTCGAATATTTCAGTCCGAATCCCTGCACATCGTCAAACTTCTGAATGGGCAAATGCCGAAGCTCAAACCCTGGAACCCCGAAGACTGTGCAATTATGCTGCTTCCACGCTAGGAGCAATCGCAGCCTCAAGAATCAGTAATCCTGTCCTTGCGCAAGTATTGCCCAAATAACTTATCTAGGCTCTCGCACATCAACCGTACATCACATGTATAAAGCTTCGTGAGTAATGAGTAATGTTTTGTGAGAACCTGAAGGAATCTCTCAATGGAACCCTACCAAAGAACAATAAACATTGTCGGAGCCCATAAGGCCCTTGTACAAACCCCTAAAACATTGACACAACATGGTGCCCCGCCTTTGTTCCCTCCGTGACCAGTTCGGCTTCCCCGAAGGCTCCATGGCCATAGGCGCGGAGGTCGGCCAAAAGGTTTGCAGCCTAAAGTTTCATGCAAGGTGCGATGGAGCGGTTGAACTGAACATGTTGGAGGCCGTCCGTTGCTCAGCTCGTGGAAACGCCTGATGAAGTAAGAAGCTTGCTGAAGCTTGGTCTGAGTATCAAATTATTGAGAAACCACGAAACACAAGACTTTTTTCAAATAGTTCGGGCCCAGGTTCCGTTACTTACCGGGTTCGAGAGGGGAAAGAGGTTTGCGAGGCGGACACCCCGCTTTTTTGCCGTTGGTGTCCAGCCGGTTCTTTCGAGATCAACCCTTTCACGTCCAACAAACCAAGAAACCCCTACCAACACCTACAATCTTCAAAGCAAGAATCTTCAACCTTGCCCAAACTACGAATCTAGAAGTGCATCCAAGACTCAAACCCTCCACTTGAAAACACTCCAACGTCACAAACCAAACCCATAAAACCAGTTCTAGAAACAGCCACTAGCCCTGAATATCACAGAAAAATCCGGCGGGCGTGACTTCTCAGGTGGTTGGTTCTCACATTTAGGGATTAGGGCTTCTTTTAGGGTTTAGGGTTTAGGTTTCTTAGGGTTTCCACCCGAGAGGTCACGCCTCGCAAAAATCCAATACGTAACTTCAGAACCACCAAACTTGCTACAAGCTCCACCCAATGACATGTTTGGATGAGAGTTTGAAATCTAGTTTTGCACTTGCTTGGAAAGATTTATGTAGAACGCTCTCAAGGCCTCAAGCACAGCTTTTGTGCTCACGACCGGTAGCCAAGTAGATGGTAGTGGAAGTCTGCAACAAGTCGAGAAGAAGAAGATGCTAAAGAAATCCAAAGCGACCGGCAAACAACAAAAGAAACGATGTGCCGAAATCGTGTTTCTCTGCGCAAATTAAGAGTTGCCCCTCTCTGAATAATTTGTTGTGCTTTCACTTGACATGAAAGCCCATCTTCGAACATGCACACATTCGAAATCATGCCCGCAACGAAACCCAGCTGCGTTCGTTCGGCACACGAATGGGAAGCTATAGTCGTGGCAAGAACTCTCCGATTGTCCTTTTTTAGTCTGTCGCAATCACAGCCAGACTATCATTGATCAGATCAGGGGTGCTCCTACCTGTTTTGAACATCCGTTCTTGGTCTCTTCGCCATTCATGTCTTCCAGCAGTTGTTTGCGCCAGCGTGCTGTGCTGCTTTGGTGGCACCGTAGACAAAAACAGCTCGCAGTCCTGCGCAAACCGATCCGTGCCATAGCTGATGGAACAGGAAGACTGGCAATACTTTCTGGACATGTCTTCAGCAAGCAGCCTGTCAAGACGGACCCCAAGGCCACGTCACAGAATAGAACTGCTGCCGTACCGTAGAGGCTCTGGTCCGAGCAATGGCAAGCAGTGGTTACAGTTCTTTCTCCTGTCCGCCAACAGATCATTGGAGGGCCAACCAGAAAGATCAGTCAAAGCATTGGGAATGTTGCAGACGTTATATCCGCTAAAGCCTCTGCAATGGAGAATTTCGATGTTTTTTTGGAAATGGTGCGAGAATCTTCGAAAAGAAATGCCATTGTTGAGGCCAACCTTGGATTGCTCGGCTTGACAAATGGATAGGGTAGAG